AACGTGGCATTCTGATACGGTTTCTGAAACAGCTGCCATTTTCATGCAACTTCTTTTAGCCTGGAAGCTCTCCAGAAGGAGGGGCAGAGTCTACCTTGTGCCTCTGGCACCATGTGGGTATTACATAGTTATGTGTGACTGAACAGGATTTGTGCCACACCACCACTCTGCAGAGGAGATGAGATACAGGCAGGTACATGGGAACACAAAGTAGAGCATCCCACCGATGTCTATTGGGAAATTATCTTTAGTCTTTTGAATGATGTTCCATGATTGATGATTTACTATGTATTAAAAACCCTCTTTTTGATGGATATTTCTAGATTTCAAGATTCCCCTGTTTCTGTTGTACTGTGAGGCACAGCATTAATAGGCTAAGAGCTAGAAAACATGAACCGTTCTATCACATTCTATCTGGTACTAATCCCTCAGGCAGGCCACTGGAATTCTTTAGCCTAGAGAAAGAAAGATGAAGTCTACATCCATTTAGAATTGTGTAAATAAGGGTAATAAAACCATGTTAGTGTCAGGAATGGTATAAATCCCAAGTTCCAGAGCCCTTTAGTAGCTATGTCTAAAAAAATTTAAAAAATTCCTGTCAATCTATAATATACTATTGATTTACAGAAAGTACAAGGAAAAAGGTCTATATTCTATGAACCATTATCCTCAATATCTTTCTGTCTGTCTATCTATCTGTCTGTCTGTCTGTCTCTCTATTTCTGAATTTTGCTATGTTCGTTCTATCTATCTATCTATCTATCTATCTATCTATCTATCTATCTATCTATCTATCTATCTATCTATCTATCTATCTCTGAATTTTTCTATGTTGCCCAGGCTGTCCTTGAACTCCTGGGCTCAGGTGAATCTCTCAGCTTTGGCTCCCTGAGTAGATGGGCTGACAGGCATTCCACACCGTTCCTAGCTCTAATCTCTTTAATCTATTTCATCTTGGCATCCAACTAGAAGAAGTCAAGCCCTGGGTAAATAACTTTATTCCTATTATTAGACTGCAGGGGCCTCCTGCAGGTGACAAAATTATGCTAGGCTGTCAGGCACCTGAGTGTGGTCTTCTGTGAACAGGCTAGCTTTTTATAGCACCAGCTCAAGGGGCATCTGCATTTCATGTTGTTGTTCTTCCTGCTGGCCCAACTAAATAGCTCAGGATCAGTCTTGTTGTGGGTAGAGACTCCTATATCTTAGCTGTTCGGTGTCCCCTTTGCTACCACTCTATTTCTCTCACAAACAAAGAGGTCACTGTTGGAATGAGGGGCTAAAACTTAGCAATGAAAGGTTGCTTCCTGAGCAGATGGATTCTCCAGTTCTGGGACGTGCAGTATGGTAAATCTCATATGAAGACGAGTCAGAAACTAGGTATAGTAGCAAATACCAGTAATCCCAGAACTCAGGATAAAACAGAATATCAAGAATCAGAGGCTAGCCTGAGCTACACAGTGAGTCCCAGGCCATACTGAGACCTTGTCTTAAAGAGGATGAAGTATGGCTCAAGTGGGAGCTTGCTTGCCCAGCAAATGTAAGGCTCCAAGTTCAAACCCTGGGACTATCACTCAAACCAAACCAAGCCAAGCCAAAAAACAACAACAAAAAGACAAAACCAACCAGTAACAACCAAAATTAGGACACATATTTGTGATCTAAGGAAGCTGAATGGCAGGGGGCAGCTGTGCCACTTTGGAGTACGGGGATGCAAACATGGACAGAGTCTGTAGCCAGAGTAGTTCCTGCTGTCAGAAGTGGTGGCTTTTTAACACAGGGCTGAAACCAGGAGTAGAAAAGAATCTAGCATCATTTACTGTGTCTATGACAGTTGATTTCCAATGCTGCAGAGAAAAGTAGAAAAACGTGCTTGCTTTGGGGATAGGAGCTCCTGGGGAGTCAGAAAGTGAACTGTCATGGCTGCATAAAGGGATTGAAAGTTGGAAAGCCTGCATGCATCCTGCTATTCGGGACCTCCCCAGGGTCCAGCCTATCCGAGCCTCTGAGGTCCACTTTAGGGGAGAAACATCTGACCAAAACAGCATGAAATGAGAAAAAGAAAGACCCTGCTTCAATTTTTTTTTTTTTTTGGTCAGTTTGTGGGGCTTCAACTTGGGGCCTGGGCACTGTCCCTGAGCTCTTTTTGCTTGAGGCTAGTGCTCTACCACTTTGAGCCATAGCTCTACTTCTGGCTTTTTTGGTGGTGTGTTGAAGAAAAGAGTCTCATAGAGTGACGCTGTGGCTCAAGGTAGAGCGCTAGCCTTGAGCTGAAGAGCTAAGGGTCAGCACCCAGGCCCAGAGTTCAAGCCCCATGACCTCCAAAAAAAAAAAAAAGAACATACACGCTGGGTGCTGGTGGCTCACACCTATAATACTAGCTACTCAGGAGGCTGAGATCTGAGGATCACGGTTCAAAGCCAGCCTGGGCAGGTAAGTCCATGAGACTCTTATTTCCAATAAACCACCAGAAAACCAGAAGTGGTGCTGTGGCTCAAGTGGTAGAGCTCTCTCCTTGAGCTGAAGAGCTCAGGGACAGCATCCAGGCAGAGTTCAAACCCTATGACAAAAAAAAAAAAAAAAAGTCTCATGGACTTTCTTGCCAGGGCCAGCTTTGGACCGTGATCCTCAGATCTCAGCCTCCTGAGTAGCTAGGATTACAGGCGTGAGCCACTAGTGCCTGGCGCTGCTTCAGTCCTGATGGGTGTTTGTAAAGCCTTGTATAATCGCAGTGAAAAGAGGAGGAGGTTGAAACTCACCTTAAGGTCAATACTGCTTCAAAAATTGGTGAATAATTTGAAATGTAGCAGGCAAGAAGTGGGCAATGTCCAAAAGCCTAGGTACCAGTAAGGCCAAGATTGCCATCTTAGCTACATTTCTTTCTTTTCTTATCTTTCTTTCTTTTCCTTCTTTCTTTTCTTTCTTTCTTTCTCTCTTTCTTTCTTTCTTTCTTTTTTTGGTGTGTACATGTGCCAGTACTAGGGCTTATGTTGCTTTTTTGTTGAAGGTTGATGCTCTACCATTTGAGCAACAGCTCCACTTCTGCATTTTTTGGTGGTTAGTTGAAAATAAGAGTCTCATGGACTTTTCTGTGCAGGATGACTTCAAAAGGTGACCCTCAGATCTCAGCCTCTTGAGTCACTAGGATTACAGGCATGAGCTACCCACACCTGCTCAGATCTCTTTTTGAGATCGCACCATGAGCAGGGAAGATGGCAGCCTCAGTTGCACATGCAGTAACTGCACCAGATGGAGATAAACACTGCTCTCCACACGCTCTGACTTATGTGCTGGGACACGTCCCCAGACACACTGGTTCTGTTTTAATCTGGGACAACTCATTTATTGAATCCCTACTATAAATTTGGACTTGTATAAACATTATATTCTTTAATTCCAATATCTCTAGGAGCTAGATATCACTATTATTATTTTTTAAAGAAGAAATAGATTCAGGAAGGCTGAGTGAACTCTTCAGTATTATTCTGCTAGTAAATGACTGAGGCAGGAATATATGAAGCTGGATTCTTTAGATTCCCCTTTAAAAATAGATTAAGAAGAACTATATTAGCTTGCTAGTAAGAAGGCTGAGACCTAGAGGATGGAACTTCAAAGCTAGCAAGGGTAGAAAAGTCAAAAGGCTCCATCTCCAAAACAACCAGCAAAAAGCCAGACTGGAGGCGTGGCCCAAGTGGTAGAGTACCAGCTGAGCAAACAACTTAGAGTGAAAGTAAGAGGCCCTGAGTTCAAACTGTGGTACTGGCCAAAAAGAAAAGAAAAGAAAGTTATTAGACTAAGTGAAGTGGCTTATGACTATACTCTGCAGCTCCGGAGGACGAGAATTAGAGACCAGACAAAAGGCTACTGAGACCCTCACCTCAACAAACAATCTGGGAGGGGGTACACATCTATAGATGCACCTATTCAGTAGGATTATGGTCTGAGGCTGGCCCTAGGCAAAACTGTTAAGACTGGGGGGGGGAGGAAATGGAAAAATAACCTAAGGGCATGGCTTAAGTAGTAGATCACCTTCCTAGGAAGTACAAGGCCTTGGGTTCAAAAGCCCAGTACAAACATACAAAAAAGGTGTATCAGGCAGGTTCAAAAAATTTCATTGATAATCCATGACAGAAAACAGATATGGTGGACACAACTATATATACCTTAAGATTTACCATCCTACATCTGTGTACAGTCCAATAAAGTGTTCAGATGGCTAGATGGAGAACTAGAGGAAGAACTGTGTCTTAAACTGTTTTGTAGTCAAAGACCGATATAGAATAAAGAACTTGAAGGTGGCTCAGTGGTAGAGCGCTTGCCTTGCATGCCTGAGGCCCTGGGCTCAATTCCTCAGCACCACATAAGCAAAAAAGAAAAAAGCCGGAAGTGCGCTGTGGCTCAAGTGGTAGAGCGCTAGCCTTGAGCTGAAGAGCTGAGGGACAGTGCCCAGACCCAGAGTTCAGGCCCCATGACCGGACCCCCCCCAAAAAAAAGTTGGTATCATAAATAATTTATAAATTAAACATTCTCCTTTCTGTATACTGATACAGAAAAAATAATAAGGGAAAAAAATGGTCTTCAGCTGGGCACTGGTGGCTCATGTCTGTAATCCTAGCTATACAGGAGGCTGAGATATGAGGATCCTGGTTTGAGGTCAGCCCAGAGAAGGAAAGTCCCAGATTAACCACTGAAAGGCTGGAAGTAGAGCTGTGGCTCAAGTGGTAGAGCACTAGCCTTGAGCAAAAAGCTCAGGGACCGTGTCTAGGCCTGAGTTCAAGCCCTGTGACTGACCAAAAAATATGGTTTTAGAGGATACCACAGTCCCTAAACATCAGCAATGTGGGGCCAAGCCTCCTCTCCAGGCTTTAGACTTCATACTTTTCCACCAGGCAAAAACATATTAGTTAGCTCACCAGAAACGTACCTTCTCTAGAAGCTGGAAATTTCTATTTTGAAACACTAGCCTTCTTTTCCCAACTGCCCACCCCTAAAACGGCCTTTACCTTCCACAGGAGAGGTTTTCAGTTTAGCGCAGAGATTGGCGACATTTCCGTAGCGGACATTGATATGGTTCAGAGCATCCGCTGAACGTAGTTCCATGAGCTTCCTTAGTTCCATCAACGTACAACCAAATTCCCCATCACGGCTCTCAGTTACTGAGTTCGCCGGCACACTCTGTCCCGAGGAGCTCGTCATTTTGCCTGCAGTTACTAGTCCCTCAACCACAGAAGATGTGAGGTTTTCTTTTCAACTGGCCAGTGTCACCTGTGTTCTTGTCCCCACTTCTTTCTGTTTCTTCCTTTTTTCTGGGGGCCCAGTTACAAAACAGACGGACTATATCTTGTTCAGGAAGCTTCAGAATAGAAACCCCAAATCTAGATCCTTTCTTCTGAAGCCTGACAGGGGAGGGGGGAGGAAGAGGATGGGGGAACTGAGTAGAAGATGGACTTTGTGTCACGATGATTGGTGTCCCCCCCTGGAAGGGGGTGGTGATGGAAGTAGCTGTCCAGGGCAGGTAGGTTCCTAGCTTAGACTGATGTGGCCAGATAGAGGTGTAAACAGGATGAGCATGTTACCATGGAGGCAACCTTAGCAACAATCAGCAACGGTGGTGGTAGAGCGTCAGCAGGAGGAGGAAGAGGAGGGCTCCCTGGATACAGATGGCAACTGGATTTCTGGAATAAAAATTCAAAGACAGACAAAAAGAAATGATTAGAACAGCCATGAGGATCTAGGGTCTGCCAGGGCAAAAGGTAGTCAGTCAGTCATTGTAGCACAAGGGTTGAAGCCTATGCCAAGTGACCTGACCACAAGAGGCCCCAATGATGAAATAACTGAAACAGAGAGAGGTTATTTTAGATAATCTGTCTTCAGGCCTTACCTCTCTCATCCCAACCACATAAATCCCTCAATTTCAATGTTTCCATTTCTAATGTTCTCTGTCTGAGGGATCTGGCCTTACCTGTAAGAGGTGAGAAGAGATTAGGAAGGCAGTCCAGACCCAAGTGATCTAGAAGGTGGCCTGCCGGTGTGCCACCCTCTCCCCTGCTCCACATTCTTCCCCACCCCAAACACAGACATTTACAAACCAGTAAAGTGTCCCAATAGAAGATCCCTCAATCCACCAAGGTCCCTTAGAACAGCCTGTCCTCGCTGTATGGAAACTTGCTGTCTGAGACAGTTATCAGCCAATGATGTTGGGGCTTGGGGGCTAAGCCTACCCTCCTCCCTTTCCAGAGGCTTCTGGGGTGGGGTGGAGGGGGAAAAAATGAAATGCTCTGGCAGTTTATGATACAAGGTGGAATCTTTTTTTTTTCCCTTTCTAAAGGAGATAGATATAGTTCTGAGGAGTGAAGATAGTGGTTATGCAGCTTATGAGAGTTAAAGTTTCTACAGTGTGTGAAGGATAAGGGAGCTATCGGCTCAGCTAGAGCACAGGGCCCCTGCAAGGTCATCAGGAGAGAGAAGCTGGCCTGCACGTAAGGGACGCTGGGGGGGGGGGTCACATCATGATGCACGTATATACATCAGACAGGGGCAGGCATCTCTCCTGAGCAAGACAAGTGGCATTTTACATAACTAAGGCATGGGGATGGAGCTACGGGTGAGGCGGGCAGAAGACAGAGCTGAGCTCTGTTCTCAGCTTCAGAGAGGTGCTGGCAGTGTGTCACCTCAGAGGCACTGTCACACACCCGCCATTCAGTATAAGGGGCTCTTCCTGAGACCCTGGATACAAAGTCCTGATTGTCTGCTATAGGCTGATCCAGAAACAGACACAGCAGGTCAAGCTGTTCGGTTATGAGGGGGAGGCAAGGATCCCCTGGTTGGCTTATCTAATAAACACAACATTTTTTTATCAGTTAATTTCCCCCCAAATCATAATGGCCAGAGTCTGGTTTCCAGTAGGTTCCTCTGGAACATAGATTGTTACACCCCTCTCTCTTTCAACATGCCTCCACCACCTTGCCTACTGTTCCATATACAAAGATTTAAGCAGGCAGGGTTTTGTCTGTTTTAAATATATTTTAGATGCCATCAGGGAATCCTAGGGAACAAAATCAGAGAAGAACCTGAGCCATGGTTCAGCGTCTCTTCATTTAGCCTGCTATTGAAACAGGCAGGAGGGTAATCTGTTTTTATTCACTGCCCGTAGAAAGCGGATGAGGATGAGAGAGAGAGACAGAGAGAGAAAGAGAGAGACAGAGAGAGAAAGACAGAGACAGAGAGATCATATTCACATAATTTTATTCCATTTTATCTATCTGTCTGTCTGTCCGGTATTAAAGTTTGAAACCTCTTACTCTCTCAGGTTCACAGCTCCAGTTCCATGTTCAATTTTATTAGTTATTGTGATCTTTCATTATGCCTCATTTATAAATTAAACTTAATCCTAGATATGTTATGCTTAGGAAAAATATGGTATGTATAGGCTCATATTATCAATAGGTTCAAACATCCACTGAGTTATCGTGGAACACAATCCAGTGGATCAGGAAGGAGGACTGTACCCAAGACTTTCTCTCACTTTAGCTTCTTCTCCAAGCCTGAAAGGAGGGGGAGGGGGACCATACCAGCGAGAAGCAAATCTTGATCCTTAATTAGAACTCAACCTTTCAAAAAAGATGCTAGGCCAGAAACTAGTGGCTCACATCTGTAATCCTGGCTACTCAGGAGGCTGAGATCTGAGGATCACAGTTCAAAGCCAGCCCAGGCAAAGAAATCTGAGAGATTATCTCTGATGAACCAGCAAAATGCTGAAAGTAAAGTTATGACTCAAGTAGCAGCCCTCCAGCCTTGAGCAGAAAAGCCAAAGAAGATGTTGGGAAACTAAGACTCGGAAGGTGTGACTTGTTTTGTGTCACTGCTTGATGAACATAGTGATTTTTCCCTACTTGCTCCCTAGTGCCTACAAAAAAACTTAACACACAGTGGCCACTCCGTTGACATTTTTTTTTAATTTTATTTTTTTTGGGGGGTCGGGTCGTGGGGCCTGAACTCTGGGCCTGGGCACTGTCTCTCAGCTCTTCAGCTCAAGGCTAGCACTCTACCACTTGAGCCACATGGCCACTTCCAGCTTTTTTCTTTTTGCTTATGTGGTGCTGAGGAATCGAACCCAGGGCCTCATGCATCCAAGGCAAGCACTCTACCATTGAGCCACCTTCCCAGCCCCTCGGTTGACATTTTCTAGGTCACTTCAGATGCAGAATCAGGTGTGCCCTTTCCTTAGCCAGTCACCTGTTGGCAAGTCCCTTCACCTTCTGCAGACTAGTTCCTCGCAAACTCTTTGCAACTGGGAAACGAATCACATTATCTGAAGAAAGTAATACGTGAAAATGGTATTTTAGATTTAAAAAATTCTTAGCAAGATGTCTAATGCCACTCAGGTAAGGGGTGGGGGGCAAGCTTCATTTGATCTGAAGCCAGTCTTTTTGACTTCTCCCTTTAAGGAGAAGACCTCTCCTCCAAAGAATGGAAAATTCCAAGGCAGTTTTCTTCACAATAGCCATTGATTAGGTTATAACTATTAGCAATGGCCTCTGGCAGATACAATCGAGGGACTGTAGAGTAAAAGAAGGCATAGTTTGAGTCCAGATTCCTTGCCATAGGTACCAAAGGAGAGAGAGAGTCTTCCTCTCACATAGGGAACAGACTGGAAAGGGCGCATGAGAAGAAAAGCCATGGGTCTGAAGCCTGAATGTGGAAATGGCTGAGGTGTGGTGGCTGTGGGGTCAACTGGGCAGCGAGTGGTTAAGGTGGACTCTCCACAGATCTGTTGAAGTAAGGAGGTTTATCATGGTGTCCAGACTTCTTTCCAATCCCTCTGAAATATGAGCTCTTTGCAACTGCTGAGCTTGCCTGGCCCCTAACCTTATTAGGCAACTGCCGAGGCACAATCTGCCCACAGCCTTTCAGCCAGGCAGGGAGGCGCACTACCTCTGTCAGGTCAGTTAATCATTCGGTGAAAGGTATGCTGGGTAAGGTATGTTCTCACTCCTGTGTCTGGCTTTTTGCCAGCCTAGGGGTTGAGAGGATACAGGGGTGAACTCTCCCATCCCTCCTCCTGGGGCAAAAAAATTATGTGATCATTGTATCCTTTTAATTATTTTCCTCTTAAAGTCCTGTAACATGTTCTATAATTTGTAGATAACACGTAAAATAGGCATTCTTGACAGGACCCTGCTGACCGCTGACTGCTGACCTCTGACCCCCAATACAGGGAGGCCCAAGAGAGAAAAAGTGATGGGTCTTTGGCAAGTCAAGGCCTTGACTGCCTGGTGATCTTTCTTTTTCTTCTTCTCATTCCTCTGTCTCTCCCCTCCCTTCCTTCCTTCCTCCCTCCCTCCCTCCCTCCCTCCCTTCCTTCCTTCCTTCCTTCCTTCCTTCCTCCCTTCTTTTCCTCCCTCCCTCCTTTCTTTTTGTGCTACTACTAAGGCTTGAATTCAAGACCTTTCTCTCTCTTCTGGCTTTTTTCTGGTTAATTAGCAATAAGAATCTCCCTGGGCTGGGAAGGTGGCTCAGTGGTAGAGTGCTTGCTTTGCATTCATGAGGTCCTGGGTTCAATTCCTAAGCACCACATAAACAGAAAAAGCTGAAGTGGCACTGTGGCTCAAGTGGTAAGAATGCTAGCCTTGAGCTGAAGAGCTGAGAGACAGTGCCTAGGCCCAGAGTTCAGGCTCCAGGACTGACTTTGAACGGGGATCCTCGGATCTCAGCCTCCTGAATAGCTAAGGTTATAGGCGTGAGCCACCAGTGCCCTCCTTGTGTCACACTTTACTTCCTCCTTTTCTGAGAAACATCTGAGAAGCTCCTTGCTTTTGTCCTTTGGTAGAGGGGTGACCTTGAATTCCTAGGCTCAAGCGATTCACCTGTGTCAGCCTTCTAAGTCGCTGGGACTGCAAGCATTCACCCACCACCACACCCAGCTTATGAGATCCCTTAAAAGAGGCCTTTCCAGGGTACAAAAATACATGCTTCCAATCGGGGATGTCTCCCCCTTTCTCTTTTACATTTCAGAGTTAATGACATCCCAGGTAACACAGTAAACTAGTCCTCCGCACTGCTGAAAAGCACAGGTCCCTATGCTTCCTGCTAAGCCAATCGGGAGCAAGGCTCATTAGCAAGTCCCCAAAATAAGGAGCTTCCAGTGACAAAGCCCTCATGCCCTAAAGCCACCCAACTGCCAACAGCAGCCAGACACTAATTTCCTCCAATTCTGTCCAGGGAATCCCTTTCTCTTGGAAGTCTTCCCGGAGTGCTGGAGAAGAGAAAAGGGTAACTCCCCGTGGAGATTACACAGAAGGGCATCTTTGGAGATGTGGAAGAACTCCCTTTCCCCACCCCTCAAATCTTCCAGGCCAAAGGCTCTTCTTGAATCTGGTGAGGCCCAGGAAGCACAGGTGGAAATGGGGAAAGGAAGCAGGGAGTGGTAGTGGGGGCGGGGGTGTATAGGCCTTGGAGCTGGTACAGCACTATAGGACATGCCTGAAATAAACAGCAACTGCCCTCACCCTGTCCTGCTCTCTCCCTGCTTGGGAGCAAGATGGTAGGTAGCATTTGTGGACATCCGGGCATCAATTCTAGGAAGGAAGTGAAAGATGAAGGGAAACCCTTGGAGGAGGGAGGTGGGCTGGTCCCACCTGTGTTCATATCCCCCA